ATATTTATTTTTTGCTCGGAAAAACAAAAACAAAATTGCAATTAAATTAAACCTAAAATGTTTTACTTTTTTTTTTGTGGGAAAAACAACAACAATTTAAAGCAGTATTACACTTATTGTTTTTACGCTTAAACCCTTTTTCGTCTTTGACCCAATTACATTAGATATTTTAATTGCTAACAAAAAATACATGCATTTATTTTTTAATCTTTAAAAATGCAATTTAATAATTATATGAAATAATTTCATTATTGATAAAAATACACATTTGGTAATCTAATTTAATAGAGAGCGATCACACAAACGCACACATGCGATTAATATGTTAGCACACGCAGGCATTGAGCAGCTCTGTGAAACCGTCGCTCTTAAATACACATTAAAACCAATCTAAAATGCAGTTTGTTGTCTTTCAGATGTTTTTTGCTGATTGTGCGCGAGTGACTGACAGCGGAGGGCTTTGATCCAGAGCTGCCGCTCTTTGAATATAGACATCATCACTGAATCGATTTCACAGTCAGTTCTAGTGAAAACGGAGACACAAAGCCGCGAGCACACAGAGCGTCACACGCATGTCTACCTTCACTTTAGCGCTCTCCTCTTCTGGCTGAGAAAGAGCAGATTAAATCACACAATCAGACAAACAAGCGCAAGAGAAAAAACATGAAACCTGAAGCTGATCTTCATCAGATCCATTAGCTCTTGCTGATATAATGGCTCTTTCTTATATCTTTCGTCCAGTGAGTTTCCGTAACTTCTTCAGTCATGCACGAGTATTTTTTACAAATCATTTTATAAAGATAAAGCTCACAAAGAGCTATTTCGAACTGATAAAGTAATGTTATATACACATTTTCGTCCTTGTGTTTATTGATTGTATGAATAAAATACAAGGTTGTACCAGGGGAAACAAAGCAGAAAAATGAAACGGCTAATACATAAATGATTGCATTTTAAAAAGAAGCATTCAGAATAATTCTCAGAAACTGAAAGCATTTTTAGAAATAATTCTATAAAGATCAGACCCACAAAGAGCAGTTTCTAGATGATAAAACAACATATTTATAAATAAATATGTATGTGTGTATATGTTGTTACTTGTATAAAAATGTATATAAATATTTAATAATATTATAATTTTATTACTTTATTATTATCATTGATTTTTTTTTTTTTTACTTTTAAAATAATTTTCACGACTTTGTTAATTTGCATAAGCATGTCTTGGCTTGGAAAACACAATTTAGCAGTTTCTGCCTGAAAACCCTGATTAATAATGGATGAATGTCTTTTACAAACCTGTTGTCCTCCAAATCTCTTCCTCAGAACCTCGATCTGTTCGTTCTCCAGCTTTTGGAACAAAGGACTGACCTGCAGGAGAGGTCAAAAACATTTAATAATTAAAATAAAACAAACAAAAAGTTCAGGTTGTTAATATTCCTTTTTAATAATGCTGTACTTTTCTCACACCTTACGACACCTAATATTAAACCAGTAATATTAAATGTTAGTATTAAGTTAATGGAGCTAGTACCGTGCCGATGCAGTGTCCGGCGGGCAGAGTGCAGATGAAGGTTCCCGTGTTCTGCAGCATTGCGCTGACGCAGGTGGGCGGAGCCTGCAGCTGCTGGCGGATGGTGCGACTGACAGACGGCATGTACGGCTCCAGCACGACCGACAGGAGACACGCCACGTTCACCGACACGCCTGTCACTGTCCCGGCCCGCTGCCTGCGGCACAAACACATGCTAACATCACACAAACACACACTAACATCACACAAACACACGCTAACTTCACGCAAACACACGCTAACATCACGCAAACACACGCTAGCATCACGCAAACACACGCTAACATCACGCAAACACACGCTAACATCAGGCAAACACACGCTAACATCACAAACACACACTAACATCACGCGAACACACGCTAACATCACGCGAACATCAGGCAAACACACGCTAACATCACGCTAACACACGCTAACATAAACACACGCTAACATCACGCGAACACACGTCCCAACATCACACAAACACACGCCAACATCACACAAACACGCTAACATCACACAAACACGCTAACATCACAAACACACGCTAACATCACAAACACACGCTAACATCACGCAAACACACGCTAACATCACGCAAACACACACTAACATCACGCAAACGCACGTTAACATCACACAAACGCACGCTAACATCACAAACGCACACTAACATCACGCAAACACGCTAACATCATGCAAACATGCACTAACATCACGCAAACACACGCTAACATCACGCAAACACACGCTAACATCACACAAACGCACACGAGCATACCCTAACACACAAACACACGCTAACATCACCATCACGCAAACACACGCTAACATCACACAAACGCACACGAGCAGACACTATCACACAAACGCACGCTAACATCACACAAACGCACGCTAACATCACGCAAACACGCGCTAACATCACAAACGCACACTAACATCACGCAAACACGCTAACATCACGCAAACGCACGCTAACATCACAAAAGCACACTAACATCACGCAAACACGCTAACATCACGCAAACGCACGCTAACATCACGCAAACGCGCGCTAACATCACACAAACGCACGCTAACATCACGCAAACACACGCTAACATCACACAAACACACGCTAACATCACGCAAACACACGCTAACATCACACAAACACACGTTAACATCACGCAAACACACGCTAACATCACGCAAACACACGGCAGGAGCTCAAAACTGTGGAAGCCCGTTTCCAACACGAGACAAAAAAAAGAAAGGTAATTGCAACTTTTTATCTCCCTATTATGACTTTGTAAAATGCAATTGTGAGGGGGGGGGTTTCAGGGGAAAAAAAGTCACAACAGATTAAAAACAAAAAATATTGCAATTATAATTTTTATTTGTTATTCAGTGGTGGAAACAAGCTTCCATACAATACAAATTCAAAATAAGAGAGTGAGAATTACTTTGTGCTCATAATCTCCAATAATGTTTTTTTCCTCTGTTTAGAAATAATGTTTAATTTAGATTTTATAAATGGCGTGATCACGTGTTACACGACTTGCCTGTCACCGTCTCCTCCTTTGATCTTCTTCCAGGGCTCGTTAACCTGGATGTACTGATTCCCGTGACGAGAGATATTCAGGATGCACTTCAGAGCATCACGGATCCTGAACAAACAGCCCAGAAATAAAAAAAACAAAACATGATGAGACGCTCTTACGTCTTTACACGTGCATTATTAAGACAGAAACATGCTTGAAGAGATTCTCATCAGAAATAAACGCTTCTTCCAGTAATTTCATAATCAAGGTTCTCACTGTTTTTGTTTAACAATGAATTTCTGAGACACTTCCAGTTGTTTGTGGTAAGGCAACACAGGTGAAAAGGGTCAAAAATGAACTATTAAATATCACCATACTTAATAACAAATGCAAACATTTTTTGAATGACAAGTTTTCTGAAATGTTATGTTTAAATATGCAAATGAGGCACAATCTAAGTGAATGTGCACTAATTTGCATACATTTCCAGAACGGAAATCTGAATAATGAATCATGCAAGAAGTCACAAAACGTAATTTGTGATTTTGTTGACATATTAAAGGTTTTTTTCCAGAGGGGATTTTGGATTTCTCTTTTTATCACTCCATTAATCAGAAAACACTGTCAACAGACATAAAACAAATACATTTTCATGATGTCTTTAGGTATAAAATATAAAAAAATAATGCGATTGATATATAAATAGGCATTCAGAATATAGATAGGAATAAAACGGTTAAGTTTTGTGTAAGTGCTGCTGAAATTGAGAAAAAAAGAGTCAATTAATGTTGTTACTTTGTTAATAAATTTGTATAAATGTTTAATATTTTTAAATTTATATTTGTATAAAATACATAAAAATATGAATCGAAAATAATATATTTTAAAAGAAAAAAGAAAAAGTATATTTATGTGTGTGTGTGTGTGTGTGTATATATATATATATATATGAGCATAAGGAATTTTTTATGTAATTGTTTTATAAATTTCTTTTTTTTATATTCAATTTTTTGTTTTTTTAATTTAACAGACTTTTAGAAGTTTTCTTTCCACTATTCTGAAGGAAAAAACACCTGCTGAAAAGTGATAGCTCCAAAATAGCCCCAAATCTCTAAACTGACCAGAGAGAGAAAACACTGCTTATACTGTAGTGTCTCGGTTTAAGGATTTTTAAGCATCATTTTATACACTGATTTTCTGTGCTATTCTGAGTTTGTGAACCACCAATGACCTGATATTTCCTGGTAACTCTGATTTATGGAGGAATTACTGCCTGCTGAAATATTATAGAGCTGAGCAAAGCCAGACAAATGTCATTACAGGCTGGAAATCAGCTTTAATATTCCCTGATACTGACATGACTGTGTGAGACCTGCATCTGTGGATCTCTGCGTGTTTCTGCAGAATTGTGGGTAACTGACCTGACTTTATCCAGCAGCTGGATGTACTGCTTGAGCTCCCAGTGGACCTCAGCGATGAGCCGCTTGTCATCTTCATTCAGGAGCATCTCAGGAACGCAGCCGTCGAAGAACTTACTGACGAACATCCCGGCCCTGAGGAGAGACCAGCAGCAGCTCTGATGAGAACTAAACGTGCTTCAGATCAGTTCAAGAAAACTAAGAGTGCAGTTATAATGTGCACTATAACACAAACAAAAAGCAAACCAGATTTAAACAGAAGAAGAATGTTTAGTATTTGTAAACAGATGCTCGATAGTTTAATTTAATTTATATTGCATGCAGAAGCTTGATTATTTGAGCACAAAAGCAGTGTTAAGTCGCTGGGGTATATTTGTAGCAATAGCCAACAATACATTGTATGGGTCAAAATTATAGATTTTTCTTTTATGCCAAAAATCATTAGGATATTAAGTAAAGATCATGTTCCATGAAGATATTTTGTAAATTTCTTACCGTAAATATATCAAAACTTAATTTTTGATTAGTAATATGCATTGCTAAGAACTTCATTTGAACAACTTTAAAGATGATTTTCTCAATATTTAGATTTTTTTTGCACCCTCAGATTCCAGATTTTCAAATAGTTGCATCTCGGCCAAATATTGTTCTATCCTAACAAACCACACATCAATGGAAAGCTTATTTATTCAGATTTCAGATGATATATACATCTCAATTTCGAAAAATTGACCGGTTTTGTGCTCCAGGGTCACATTTGTGCATTTTGCCCAAGAACAAGTCCTATGAAGATATTTTAGTTTAAGTTAATTAATGCATTTTATTATGTGAAGATTAGCATCAATGATAAAAAAAAGAAAACCAAAGTAAATAAAACTGATGGAAAGTGAGACATTTTGCACTTTTTTACTTAATGTCAGTGTCATTTTAGTATCACTGATACTATTATAGTTTTTATTAATATTTTGAATCAGTTTTTATTTTCATATTTTCCATTTTTGTTTTAACTTTAAAGTTTTAATAATTTTGTCACGTAATTTTTATTCTTTTAAATTTTTTTTTTTATGTATGCCTGTATAGTTTTTATTCATTTCTATTTTGGTTTCAATTTCAGTTGCATCAAGTTTTGTGTTTTGTTTTTGTGTGTGTGTTTTTCTTGTGTGTGTTTTTTTGATGCTTTGTTTGCTTTTGTAGGGTGACTTTTTAACACTCTGTCAAGAGTCTCCAGAAGAAAAACTGAAAAAAAAAAAAGCCTTTCAGCAAAATCTGGCACATTTACATCATGTTCATTAATGTGCATCACACCTATAAATGAATAAACTTCAAACTTGAAGTTAAACTACATGAAAATGACAAATGCCGCCTTTTTATATTTTAGTTTATTTCAGTTAAAGTTTATTTTATTTCAAGTAACAAAAATGCTTATTTCATGTTTTTAATTTTAGTTTGAGTTTGTGTGAACTACAGGAACCCTGCATCATGTGTTTTTAATGAATAGCTGGTGGCCAAGTGTGAATAAAATACGCAAACTGATTGAAATCTGATCAATCAAGATGCATAAGTGTTAACAGTCCCTGCATGTATTCATTTAAAAAGATAAAACTGTATTTATCTATTTATGCACATTACAGCTAAAAATGAACTGAAGCTGAACTGAAAAGAAAACTGATCTCAAATTTTGTAGATCATAACCTTGAGGAAAAATTGTGTTTTTTATGTCAGTGATTCTTTGGTTTAGTTCAGTGTGTGTGTGTGTGTGTGAGATAGAAGCGCCAGACGTCTGACGGGATCCCGGTGTCTTTAGCCATGTCACCGAACACACCGACGCCTCGACTCTTGGAGAACTTCGTGTCCTCATAATTCAAGTATTCTGGACACATGAAAACACACACACAAACATTATTATTATTATTATTATTAGATATAAATATTAGAATGTTTTTACTCTGCTGTTCAGATGTTTGGGGTTAGTAAGATACTTTTATTCATTAAGGATACATTAAATTGATCAAAAGTGACAGTGAAGACATTTATAATGTTACAAAAGATTTCTATGTCAAATAAATGCTGTTCTTTTGAACTTTCTGTTCATCTGTGAATCCTGAAAAATAAAATTCATCACGTTTTGCACAAAAGGGTCCTCGGGTCTCGGGTCCTCTGTGTAGACCTCTACACTGGAGCACAAAAGCAGTGTTAAGTCGCTGGGGTATATTTGTAGCAATAGCCAACAATACATTGTATGAGTCAAAATTATCCATTTTTATTTTATGCCAAAAATCATTAGGATATTAAGTAAAGATCATGTTCCATGAATATATTTTGTAAATTTCCTACCGTAAATATATCAGAACTTAATTTTTGATTAGTAATATGTTTTGCTAAGAACTTCATTTGGACAACTTTAAAGATGATTTTCTCAATATTTAGATTTTTTTGCACCCTCAGATTCCAGATTTTCAAATAGTTGTATCTCAGCCAAATATTGTCCTATCCTAACAAACCATACATCAATGGAAAGCTTATTTATTCAGCTTTCAGATGATGTATAAAACTCAATTTTGAAAAATTGACTCTTAAGACTGGTTTTGTGCTCCAGGGTCACATATTTAATATGCAGTGGTATATGCATACTAGATAAAATTAGACTGCAATCATCTGTATGGTTTCATGTTCTGTGAATGATCTGATCTGTGTTGTGTTCGGGTCTCACCGGTAGCGATGAGGTGATTCACCAGTGTGTAGTTGTCTTGAGCTCCGAGAAGTGAACAAGGGAACACTACACTGTGGAAGGGAACGTTGTCCTTCGCCATGAAGTTATAGAGCTCCACCTACAGGACACACAGGAGCATTACATCACAGCGAAGAATTCAGGGTTTGACAAAGACACAAAAGCTCCTCAGAAACAGTTGTGGTTGCAACAAAGTGGTTGCCGAGCAACACACAAACATAAACAAAGGTGTATGTTACTTTGTAGAGTCATTTACAACAGCTTCGAACGCGGCTCAGCCAATCAGAATCAAGGACCGGAACTATCCGCTTTATAATTAACCATAAATCAGCTTTTACTTCTTAAAATGCTGATATGACTGCAGCTGCACTAATTTTGAAGTAGAAAATAAAGCAATGGTTATCGGAGGGTGTTTTTACCAGAAAACACTATTTCAGTCTTTCTACTTAAAAAGTTCACATATAATTCAATTAACTCATCTTTTAGCCATCTTCATCTTTCATCTTTATTTAACCCTCTAACTCTAGCACTCTCTATTCTAATTCTATTCTTTAAAAAAAAAACTTGCATCTTATAGACTTGCACTCTATTTATTTACTAACTGCTTGTTTTCTTTAAAAAGAAACTAACACTAGCTTCCCTAATCTTTTTGTATTCTATCTATTTGTTTTCTTTTTATTTATTATACAATTAACAAAAAGAAAAAAAAAGGCCTCTAACACTAGCTTGCTCTATTCTTTTTCTATTCTACCTGTTTTCTTTTAATTAATTATTTAATTTAGATTTTAATTGCTTCCATTGTCCTCATTTGTAAGTCGCTTTGGATAAAAGCGTCTGCTAAATGACTAAATGTAAATGTAATTCAATGTTACTTGCTGCTTCTTTGTAATTATTTGTGAAATTTACTAGCAATTTCTGAATGAAAATTGTTAATGAATTAAAAAATAAATCCTAAGCCTTTTTTTCAGTGTACATCATCTTAAACATACGCAGAAAAATTAAAGTTCTTCAAAACAAGTCTTAAAATAAACATGATGCTAGTAATATTTTGGTATCATTGAGAAACTGCTATATTTTTATTAATATTTTGAATCAGTTTTTATTTTCATATTTGTTCTCTTTTCATTTTAATTTTGAAGTTTTGTTGTGTATTTTTGTCATTTTTATTGTCATTTTAACTGATTTTATTGTTTAACTTTATTGTTATTGTTTTTATTGTTAACAGTTATTGTTTTGTATATATATCTATATAGATTTATTAATATTTATTTCAGTTTTACTTCATGTTGGTTTCATTTTAGTATCATTGAGATACTAATATAGTTTTTTATTTTACATTTTTGTTTAATTTTAATTTTAGTTAAAGTTTTAGTAATTTTGTTCTATATATTGTTTTACACATTTTGATCTATATAGTTTCTATTCATTTTTATTTCATTTTCAATTCTAGTCATTTCAGAACATCAAGTTAAATTAAAACAAGAAATTAACAAATTTTTGTTTATTATTTTATTTTAGTTAACATTTTATTTCAAGTAACAAAAATTATTTAAAAAAATTTTTTTAGTGGGTTTTAATTTGTTTCAATTTCAGTTTTAGTTAATTATAATAACCCTGTCCCAAACAACCATAAACAAGTCTGAAGATATACGATATACATATATATACATAAGATTTGCATCAAATTCAGGAGGTAAATTCTGAAATGTTATTGGCCAGCACCTGCTGAGGATTCTTCCACCACTTCTCCCATTGGTCGGTGTAGTTTGCAGTGATGGAGAGGTAGCCAATAGGAGCGTCGAACCACACATAGAACACCTTCACAGACAGATGGATGCAGACCAATGATTTCAACACATATTAGTGAAATAACATCCTATACAGTGATTAGATTTCCAGCAGCTAAAAAATGGTTTTAAGTCAGTTATTTCTATTTTTTGCTGTAGTGTGTCAGTAGGAAATATCAGTTTACATTTAAGGGGGCGGGGCTGACCTCGTTGCTATGGATGATGTCAGCATGCTTATTAACTATGCACACAGTGATTGGCTGATAGTCTCTGTCAGAGATTTGTTCATAGAAATATTGCAGAGCGCACATATTCAAATAAAGGTTAAAAAATAAAAGTGTTAATTGCTACATTAATACATGATAGTAAGACATGCAAACAAGCACAGATGTTACTTCTTAACCAAATTGTTAATGAAAACAAGGATATAATCAAAGGAAAATTTGGAGTTGAGATAGCCTCCAAAACCAAAAAAGATGCATGTGAAAACACGTGTGTGCTAATAAATGCAGCATGTTTGTAAAATGTTTACATTCTGAGGCAGGTTGCCTGCAACAGCTATTTTAGGATAGTTTGTGGCTTAGGAGTCCACTTCACTGCTCAATCTGTTTCACAGATTTAGGATCTAGTTTTAGCGCTAAAACGCTTTGTGAAATAAGGAGTCCTAAATTTAGGACTGACACGCTCATTACTTTTAAGATTTTCTCCTAAATTATGAGTTGTGAGCTACTTTTATCCTTAAGATGTTTTGTGAATACAGGCCCAGATCTCTGTGGAGCACTGGCTGTTGTCAGACAAAAATCTCACTGGATTATTACAGTTGATGGCAAAATGAATGTTTGGAAATGTAAACTGATATTTCCTACTGACACACTACAGCAAAAGATAGAAATAACTGACTTGAAACCATTTTTAGCTGCTGAAGATACTAGTGTTCTGATCACTTTGGCCAGCACTGTATCTGATGACTGTGCGCTCGTACCTTCTCCTTGTATTCCTCGTGTGGCACAGGTGTTCCCCACCGCAGGTCACGCGTGATGCAGCGCGGTTTAAGGCCGTCGCGGAGCCATGAGTGCGTGATGTGCCGCGCGTTTGCCGTCCAGTCGCCGGAGCCTGTCGATTTATCGAGCCACTGCTCCAGCTCGTCCTCCAGCTACACACACACACACACACACACACACACACATGTTAGGTTTCTGTGAATTGTGGGGACTTTCCACAGACTTCTATTACTTTTATACTGACCAAACGATATTTTCTATCCCCTAACCCTAAACCTACCCCTTACAGAAAACCTGTTTGCATTCTTACACTTTCAGATAAACATAATTTACTATTTTTAATAATTGTTTTCCCTCGTGGGGACCACAGGTCGGTCTCCACAATGTAAAAAATTTCAGGTTTTAGTATCCTTGTGGGGACATTTACACACACACACACACAGACACACAGACTCTCTCACACACACTCACACTCTCTCACACACTCACACACTCTCACACACTCTCACACACTCTCACACACACACTCTCACACACACACACTCTCTCACACACTCACACACACACTCTCT